ACTCGACGAGTGTATAACTAACTTAGGGAGTTCAAGGCTATGTCCCAAGAATATGAAGATGGACTCGGTGAGTCAAGGAAGAACTCGGCGAGTCCAACAATAAGAGCATCACCTTGCATGAAGATGAACTCGATGAGTTCATGAGAAACTCGACAAGTCAAGGACTAAACATCCCAACTAGCATGAAGATGGGCTCAGCGAGTCAAAGGATGAACTCGTTGAGTCACTTGCAAAGGGTCCCGACTCTGTATCGTGGAACTCGACGAGTTGACCAAAAGTTAACTTTGATTTTGACTTTGATCTAAGTCGACCATGAAATGGTAACCAAGGAAGATGATTATGTGTAGGAATTAAGAGGAGTTGATCCTGACAGCGAGGATTGTTCAGGCACTTCACGACACTGAGGTGAGTTACCTTCCAGTAGAAGTGAGTCTAAGGCCACGATGTCGGCCCACTAGTAAGAGCTTGTAGTTAGATGATTGTTTGTGTGATAATTGTCTAGTATGTCACTATCTGTGATGTTATATATGCTTATATACTATGATTCTATGTGGTAGTGGTAGGGGTGAAATAGTCCCCGTTATCCGATTGGAATAGACCGAAGGGGAGGCCAACACCCAGATATGCTAGGCAGTTATCTAGTTGGAATAGGCCGAAGGGGAGGCCAACACCCAGATATGTTAGGCAATTATCCGGTTGGAATAAACCGAAGGGGAGGCGAGCACCCATATATGCTAGGCAGATATCCAGTTGGAATAGACTGAAGGGAAGGCCGACACCCAGATTTGTCTGGCAGTATGCACTATGTATGGTATTTGGTATGATGGGGGAACTCACTAAGCTTCATGCTTACAGTTTTCAGTTTTGTTTTCAGGTACCTCTTCGGCAAAGGGGAAGGAGCCGGCACGGTAGCAACGCATCACACACATGATTTCCACATTTTTCCGCATTATGATGTCCTGGGGATTGTACTCTGATAAATTATTATTATTCCATGACATGTTTTATGATTTTTGATTTATGAATTTATGAATCGATACATTATCGATGATGTTTTTCAGTAAACAGTTTAATAAGAAATACAATTAAAAAAAAATTGGTCGTGATTTTTAAGATGTTACACAATGGCTTCAAACACACCACGAAAGCACTCAAAATGGCTCACAACACTCAAAATGCCTTAGGGTTTTGAGATTAGGGTTTAGGAGAATGGTGGCTGAAAATGAGGGCAACATATGGGGTTTAAGTTGTTTAAATAGGGTGCAACACCCCGAAAATATGGTTTCCCAAACCACGTCCAACTCATCGAGTTGGTCCTCTCCAACTCGTCGAGTTGGTCTTTAAAAACACGCACAACCAACACTTCCAACACGTCGAGTTTCTTCCCCCAACCTCGACGAGTTGGCCTTTAGAAATGAGGTTGTATTTCCATAGTTGACCTTTCTAGATTCTGGATGTTACAACTTGAACCTACCATCACCAAGAAATTCAATATAAAGTCAATTTATCTTAACGTTTTTAATGCTATATCAACAAGACGAATGTTTCAACATTAAGTTAAGATGAAAACAAATTGTATGAAAAGATAATCAACTCATTTGGATCAAATATGTTGTTAGAGTATCAAACCCAACAAATAAAAGCGGTACAATAAACTCCAAAAACACTATTATATTCCACTAAAAAGTATGGAGAAATCTCCACAAAAATCTCAATATTTTGGGGATTTTTTTTAATAAAGTTCTAATGTTTTTTTAACAGAAAAGTCCTAACTATTTAACTTTTTGAATAGAAAATCCCAAGAAATCGGCTAATTGATTCACTTTATCCATTTTTAACATGTTCAACAAGTCATGAGACTACATCGTTAATTTTTTTCAAAATAATATGACTTTTCACCATTTCATCCAAATCTGCTAATTTATTCACTTTATCCATTTATGTATTTTTTTACTTCAAGTCGTATTCACCATTTCATCCAATTCCCACAACTTCTTTGAGTATGTCTAGCTGGTTTTCTAATATAACCACATATTTTAACTTTTCTCATTCACTCATAACCATATCTTTATTTGCTCATTGGTCCATGTATGTTTATCTCCTATTACTAATAACAAAAAATAACATATGGAATTCATACTTTAGCAAACATAAACTTATAACAACTTTCAACATAACAAGAACTTATATTGATTAAACTAACAAATTTCAGCATAACAAGAATCTCAATTGATGAATTTCAGTAATAATTTATCATATTTCAGCAACAATCTATGACATTTCAGCAAAAATTTATGATATTTCAGCAACAATTCATGGGATTTCAACAACAATTCATGATATTTCAACAACAATTCATGACATTTCAAACATAATATATGACCTTTCAACATAAATTTATGACATTTCAGCAAGAACTTATCATTATTCAAAATAAAAAACAATAGCAACAAAGATTTGACAACATCATAAATCAAGATTCAACAACAACAAAGATATCAACAATGATTCATCAAAAAAACAAAAAATAAGATGAAGCATGAAAGAATCGTTTCTTCAGCAACAATAAACGAAAAAAACTTACCTAATGAAGGTCGACTGACGACGATGGTGACGGGGAGGAGGTTGCGCCGGTGAAGGAAGTTGCATTTGAAGATGAAGCAGCCGATTGAAGACGCAGTCGTCGAAGGGAAGAGGGGTACGTCGCTTTTTTTTTCTTTACAAAAGAACTACCATTTTTTCTTCAGGTTTAGACGTGAAGAGGCTTGAAGAGGTAATGCAAGTGCTTTTCCAAACTGAACACACGTAGAAGTTTTTAATCCTAAATACTTTTAAAAAACAATCTACTTCATGATGGAAAGTGTCGCGTCGCACAATAATAAGTGGTCAGGAGAGAATTTTTATAATAAAACAAATAACCCCTAAATAAACAATTAATGAAATAATAAATATCCCAAAATATACTTTGATAACATTAAGAACTTTTTATGTTGAAGATAAAATTTACTTCAAAATAACAAAAGACAAAATACATTCGTTCCTTCAAAAGTATCTTAAAAAAACCTTTATTTCTTTCATCATATCATCAATAAGATCGACTTTTATTTCGTTCATCGTATCGTCAATAAGATCGGGAATATCAAGTAAACACACAAACATACATGTCTTTTTTCATACAACTCCGTATATGTCTTAGCCATATGCCATTTGGCATTTCTGAAAAAAATATTTAAAGTGTGTGCTTATGCACAAATTTTTATCAATGCTAATTTTATTCGATACTTACGTAAGTTATAAGATTTTTGCCATCCTCCGTGTAAATTACATATGTACCCTCGTAAGAATTTCCGCCCCAGGCGGCATCACAAAAATCTTTGGAAAAATGACCTTTAAGGGTAATAAAGTTTTCGTCTTGTATTCATTAGGTCCCTTATCTTTTTTTGTCTTTATTATACCATTGAACTTGTAATTCCTGCTCACCAAAGCCACTACGACCGGTTGTTGTAGGTTACTGCTTATGTGGATATTATGTGGCATACACTTGGCTTATTAAATGCAGGTCATCTCTATTAAGCTACGTCATTCTCATCAATTGTGCCATAGATCGACATGGATGCTTCTTCTTCTTCTTCTTCTTATTCTTATTCTTATTCTTATTCTATCTCTTCCAAACGAAATTTTGAATTTCAACCTGAAAATCCTTGTTATTGTGGGTCACCATCTCGCGTACGAACTTCACAAACTAAAGACAATCCAGGAAAAAAATTTAGATTGTGCCCTAACTCCATGGTAAATCAAATGTTTTTATGTTTTTGGTTTAATGTTATTTCTTTAACCAATTTGTTACTTTTTTCAAGAATGAAGGACTAAAACGCAAGTTCTGGGAATGGTTGGAGCTTGAAACCCCTGATAATGAAGTTAGTTCTGGGAAGGACAAAAAAGAACTATGCAATTTAACCCTCAAAATTTGTACATTGGAAAACCATATCAGCATATGTAAGATGAAGATGGAACAACAAAAAATTTGGTTGTTAGACAAGAATTTGAAAAAATCAAATGGAAGCTATTTACTCATAAAGTTCTGATGATTGTGTTATTTTTGTTGTTTGTGTTTAAGAAGTAGTTATTGATGTATTAAGACCAAATGTTTCTTATTAATTAAGTTGTATTTAAAGACAATGATGTATTTTGTTTGATGTATTAAGACTAAATCTTTTTGAGTAATAACAGTTTGATGTTTTGAGTGGTTTCAAAGAAATATTAATGTGTTAATGTGATCCAAGTTAGTGAATTGTACATGATGCAGGGGTAAAATGGTCCAGATTAAGTATAACAACAATCAATTGTTAATGTCTTAATGTGATCCAATGGTAAAATGGTCCAGATTAACCACAACAAAATTAAACATTTCTTAATGTTTTAAGACTAAATGTTTTTTACTAATGGTAGTTTGATATTTTGAGTGTTTACAAATACATATTAGTGTGTTTAACAGGTTAGTGAATTGGACATTATACAGGGGTAAAATGGTCCAGATTAACCACAACATATTAGTGTGTTTAACAGGTTAGTTTGATGTTTTGAGTGGCTAAAAAGAAATATTAGTGTGTCTAATAGGTTAGTGAATTGGACATTATGCATGGGTAAAATGGTCCAGATTAACCACAACAACAACATCAAACATTTCTTAATGTATTAAGACTAAATCTCCTTTATTAATGATAGTTAGTTTGATGTTTTGAGTGGTTTCAAAATGTGTTTAGTTAGTTAGTGTATTGGATATGATACAGGGGAAAAATGGTCCATATTAAATATAACACCCTAGCATATAATATAGATAGAAAACAAACTTGTAAGATTCCATTAGCATGTGCACCATTACAAAAGTTGTACCCACATTTGTCTTAATATGTCAAAAGATGTTCCATGACTAAAAGTATTCCCAATTACATAATTAAAAGACTAAAAGTTTGTCTTCACAAAAATATTAAAACATAAATTCATTCCAACACCAGTGGGTGGTGATCAATGCTTCCTTCTTTCTTCAAAACATTCCTCCTCAACCCAATCTTGGTAATTATTTCTGAGTATTTTCGTGTCCTCTTCCCAGTTGCAACAGGTTGAGCAGGGACATCATTAACATGATCATCTACATGAACATCAACATGTTGAACATGTTCATCTACTTGAACATCATCACCTGGTTGTGTAGGAGCTTCCACTTGAATTGGATCTTGTAACAATTGGCAAAAATATAGACTTTTGTACGACGAGCTATGTTAATAATAAACAACAAATAATATATTATCTAAATAACAATGTTATTTTTATAACCTGAACTAGAATCGGGTTCTTGAAAACAACATTGACTGATAACCGGGTGTTCAAAATATTATATTTACACAGCTTCTAGTAACTATGAATTTTATAAAAGTGGCGTGTGATACTATCAACGGACAAACACACGGAATTGAAATGTATCAAACTTAATCGTTAATCAACAAAGACTACGGAAAAATTAATAAAAAAAAAAAAGCTAAAACGGTTACGTCAACATAACATATATTATGTCGAGAACAAATACAAATGTGTTATTATTTAAAATAAAACAAAAAAATTGTTATTTTTAAGTGTAATTATAAAACACATATTGTATTAAAACTAGTTATATATAATTTAAATCCAAAAATTTTATATATGTATATAAATATAGGGAATATATTTAACTAAAGGAACATTCAAAGATAGGATGCAGGGGATAACATGTCAAATATACATACGTTTCACTTGGAAAAATTAATAGCCATTCATTTATATCCCATGCACATACACAACAACATTTACTATTTTATATACACATAAAACAAATTCAAAAGATCTAACTCACAAATACAAGATATAGAGTACTCATTGATGCACATGCAAGTAACGAAAAACAATCTGCAAAGTCTATGTCTCGTTACTTCATTTCACCTCTCAAACTCTAGATTCTAGTTTCTTAGGAACTCAACTATATCTACTCAGTTAACCAATAGGGAAATCCAATCTTAGAAAGATTTGAAAATATCTCTAATGATCTCCAAGATATGGCAAGTTGCTTTCATCTCTTCTTCTCACCTTAAAAACTCACGATATCTCCCCCATACCTTCTCTATTTTTACCTTCTTATAACCCACACGTAACACTCCATTAGCCATTCAAGATCACTTCCAAATTCAGCCCCTCCCTTCTCCACGAGACCCATCAAAAAGAGAGGAAGAAATGGAGCTGCTGCCTCCTTTTTTTTAGCTTCCTATCACAGCATTTAGCACCTGTCTTCAACCCATTTTTATTCCAAAATAACCCTTAAACATGTCTCATGTTACTGCTATGTTTAAAGTCAACAAAACTGCCACAAAACTCTTCTTTTTATTATGTTCTTGCTGAATTTTCGAGAACCTACACACACAAATAGTTGTTGAATTCCAGGTACCAAATAAGCTCCTGAAAACCTTCCTGTTGCTGCCATTTTTCGAGATCATAACAACCCATTTGAAAGCCATTTTCGAGTGACATAGATCCCATGACAACCTCTTCCATGATGCCTAGAAAAATGGTGTTCAACTCATGATATAACAATCGTTTGTGATAGCATTAGAACAAAGGTATACATAAAACTTTTACTTATGTTTTACATCTTAAAAATAACCCACAAGTTGTTATGAATAACTAGTTGTAATTTCTAACTTAATCTATCATCATCTATGTTAAGTCCTCCCAAAGAATACTTCAGTCACGAGCCTTCGAGAAACCGGGAACATCTCGACACCTTTGAACCCGATAACGACACGCAACTAAAGTGAGTTTCTACGGCCCCTCTTTTATATTTTACAAGTTTTGGGGGATAATACACACTAAACAAGTTATAGTTGAAAGATTTAAAGGCTTTGCTAACTAAAAATGCAAGTTATGTCACTAAACATATCTAAGCTCAAATTTTAGCTTTTCACAGTAAAGTTATGGTCTGTTCACGGACTGTTTTGCCCTCCTTAAACTCAATGGATTTCAAAACTGTACAATATGGAAATAGTTCATGTTTATACCTTTCCAAGGACTACTTGCACACGTTCATACAATTTTTCTACGATTTATAATGATTTTTATATCATTTCAGAACATTTTCGGACCTATCCGTAAAAATGAACATTTTCACTCAGGTTAGGAACCACTTAAGCTCTGGGTAAAAATTATGGACAAATTAGACTCATTTTCTAATCTTCGAGAGTTTATGGATCTATATTTTGACTTACGATAATTTTTCTATGATTTTTCTAAAAACATGGACATAATTGCCCTTTTGATTTATCTTGCTGTTTGGACTTTCAAATACATATACAAAGTGTTGTGGTAAATAAGAAGTACACCAATTACAATATTGTTTAGTTCACACATACTTCAATAGTTACAAAAGTGTAAATTATAACAAGTATTTCTAATATGATCATGTTGAAAACCTCATAAGATATGATGATTTGGACTATGTCGATTTTGGTCACTCACAGCCGGGGTGCTGTATAAACTTTGTTATTCACTTACAGTCGGAGTACTGTCTAAACATATATATGGTCACTTATAGTTGACGTACTGTTTAAACTCGTATAGGGACACATATGACCGTTGTCCTGTTAGAACTTTGGTAGTTTTACATATCTAAGCATTACAACCAAAAGTCTTTAAATCCAAACAATCGGGAATTATAACAAAGTCCCATAAATAAATATACTAAGACACACTGGGATGAGGTCGTATGTAGTATGAATATTGTTTGTAGATTGTTAAAACGATTGTTAGTGTCTATGTATACAAAGACTAAATATTTTGCTTCTCATAAATATGTTAAAATTTACTTTTATGGTAAGTAAGTAACATGGGTACTCGTACTAGATTTCAAGTATCGGTTCTCACACGAAGCATATCGGTAACATTGTTGACCATGTTTTGCACAATTTACTTCGTTAAACATCCCATGTTTTATAAAGATTTCATGTTATAAAACTTACGGAGTCAAAATCTGTGGAACTCACCAACAATTTTTGTTGACGTATTTTAAAAATGTGTATTCTCAGGTAACTAAGGAGCCGGAGGTAGGACATCGGTTCTAAGGAAATTATAGTTCATTTCTTTTAGGAAAAATCTTGAATTGTTTTTATTTACTGTTGTGTGTTTAAAATATGAATATGTAATTTTAATTCCAACACTTTAAGGTTTGTAATATATTGATTTAAATATATTAAGTGATCGATATATGTGGTTGACTGTGATCCAATTGTATAACGTCGCAACCCCGACGATTTCCGCCGCGGGTCGGGGTGTGACAGATCTACTTGAACTGGTTCCATAGTACCTGCTATACAAAGGTGTAGTTAATGAGTTAGATGTTGTAGTATAATTACATTTTTTTAATAGCATACCTTTCTCTATTTTGCATTTATTAGCTTTCTTCTTTTTTGGAAGTGAAGTCGATGCTGCATCTTTTGGTCTTGTAGGACATGTTGATCTATTGTGGCTCGTTTCTCTACAAATGGTGCATCTCATAACTGCACCTGCTTTTGAGATAGTATGCCTTGTTTTCCCTTGGCTTTCCCTCTCAGATTGATCCGTTTTCCTTTTAATGATTGGCCTTCCTGGTAACCTTTTTTTTTTGGGAGGCAATGGCTTCATGTAGGTAACTTCGGGCCACATGGAACTACCATTAAGTGGATTAATGGTATGGTTGTAATAAGTCAAGAACATGGTTGTATGGAACCATGGTGTAATATAATCCCTTGCATTTCTGTTGAGGTATGAAATGACTGCCACTGCATGCACACATGGGATACCTGATACTTGCCAAGATCTACATCCACATGTGTTGTTGTTAAGGTCCACAACATATCCATCATTTCCAATCCTAACCTCATATTGTTGTATCCTATAAGGTATAACCCCCCAAAATCTGCTCACAAAAATAATAAGTTCTATTAATCTTATAGATGAGACATATAATATTTATATGATAGAAGTTATATCATACCTTTGTTGTTTCTTTAGCTTTGATATTTTCAACCTTATAGATGGACATATTTTTAAATTTCCCCAACTTTGTCCCTCTAGCAACATTTTATACATCCTCTCCATTGCATAAATCCTTATCTCTTCCAACATGGTGATGAGTGACCTCTTCCTAGCAAGATCAATAACATAGTTGAAACTTTTTGATATGCCATTCACATAAGCATCACAAGCCCTATCCACTTCAAAGAATGCCTTGCACCAAAATTTAGGGTCCCTTTCCATGAGGTGTTCATAAGCCAAAGGGTCAATTTTTTTTATGGAATTCATTTATGCCTCAAATTTAGGTTGAGTAGTACTAGCAGCTGCTGCCCAAAACAACTTGCTATATCGTTCACCTTTGAATCTTTTCTTGAAGTTAGCATAGATGTTCCTAGCACATTGTCTATGATCTGCTGCTGGAACCCTTTCTTTGACAGCCTTTATTAATCCCTGAAAGAAAGCATGAAATAAATGACATAACAAAAACATTCAACTTAAACAAATCAAAACAGAAATATACCTTGTGTTGGTCCAATATGAGGGTCAATCCATGACCAATTCCCATTTAAATGTTATCCAAAAGGAGGTCAATAAACCACTTCCATGTTTCCTTATTTTCAACTTCCACCACAGCCCATGCAATAGGGAAGATGTGGTTGTTTGCATCCCTACCCATAGCTGCTAACAGTTGGCCTCTATATATACCCTTTAAAAAACAACCATCTACCCCTATTACCCTCCTACATGCTGCAATCCAACCATCCTTCACACCATTAAAACAAACATACATTTTAGAAAAGTAAGTGGTGGAATCAGGCATGACATTCACATCTAACTTTACTGTTGATCCAGGATTTGTTCTCATTATTTCTTCTCCATAACTCCATACTTTACCATAATGTTCTATTAAACTACCCTTTATCTCATCTAAAGCATATCTCCTAGCATTTCTACATTGAGTGACACTAACAATCAAGTTAAACATTGTACTTACTTTGGCTTTCATTTTCCTTATGCTCATTTTGGGGTTCTTCACAAGTTGATTCTTAAAATGCTTTCCAATCCATTTATATGTTACAATGGAACCAAGTTTGAAGACTCTTGAACAATTATGGTCATCAACTAAGGACTTAATCTGGAAAGACCTTTCACTACTCATCCAGGAAGCCCACGGTTTAAAAGGACAAGAAGGGTTCTTGTTATCTTTACAACATCTCACTAATAGCCTCTGACTATCATTTTCCTCAAAATAAAGGTTGTACCCATTCTTCACTGTATAGTTAGTCAAACAAAATTTTCAATTCCATGGGGTTAGAGAATCTCATACCTAGAATTGGTACCATTTTGTCCTATTTCTGGTTCTCATTATGGACAGGGTACATTGGTTTGTCATCTCCATTCTTGGTTTCAACCTCATCAGTTTTAGCCTCATCATTTATATCCTTCCATATACCTGACACCCGATGTAAGAATTCATTACCAATAGTTTTGTCTAGAGAAGGAATGTAATCATCTGCTTCATGCTTAAATGGAATATCATCAGAAAGTTGTGAATCTTTATCATCATCCGGGTCTTCCTCAGTATAATGCCCTTCATCATCTTCCACTACTTCCATATCAGCCCAATCAAGTACAAATTCATTTTCGTGGTCTATATACACATTCATTCTTAGACCAACTTCATCACTATAACCCGTTTCAATAAACTCAAAGTAGTCAGCATCATTCCCAATTCTCCTAATACCCTCTGCCAATGGTTCATTTCTAGTGTAATAATATACATTATCACAACTGCCTTCAATCAACTTTGTAATGAACAAGTTAAGTCTTTGAGATCCATTGCACCAAAATCGACATCACAGATTGAAACAACAACGTTCAAGTACACTAATGGTTTTTGTGCGAATAAACCATTATAATGTATATAAACTGTTAAATACTTACGTTGTTTGGAATCAGAGGCCATCTTCTTTACTATAACACTCGCATTCACCGGTTCTCTTCAATTTCCTAACCGTATGCTTCGATTGAACTTTTTCTTCAATTTTAACGAACCCTAACTGTAAGGAGAAAGGGGGTGAAAGAGAAACGGTAATTATTAAATGTGTTCTAATTCCACGTAATATGACATGTCATCTCTAATTAAATGTGGTAACCGGTAAAACAGGTGATAACTGATCGCGATGGCTTTGATGAACACAAATTATAAGTTCGATGGTATAATAAAGAAAAAAAAAAATAAATAAATAAAATAAAATAAAAAAAGGGGGACCTAACGTTTATTTCCCTAATTCCCTCATTTTCCCAAAATCTTTCGAGAGTTCACCACTCCCCCCTATTTCCCGTATCTAATTTTCTCTCCGCTAAAGGTAATAGCAACCTCCGTCGCCGCCTCCATTACTGCATCGCCTCTCTCGCGTCTGCTATCACATCGACTTCCTCCCCTGCTTGCCGCCGTACGCCGTCGCCACCCCTGTGAGGCTAGCGGCAGGAGACCTTTGATAGCCACAGCTACATCGTCGCACCCCACCCCAGGTTCCATTTCTCTTTTCTGCTTTCTTTTAAAATCGCCAAATGTCAATCGATAAGATTTTCAAGCTTATCAGTTGATGCTGGTGTTATTATCAGTTGATGTTGGTCGGTTTTTTCCTTTTTTTTCCTGACTTCGATAGTTCGATAGCCACAGCTAGTTGTTTGCTTTTGTTATTCATATATGATATCTGTAAAAAGGGAATGTGTTTGATGTTCATATTATCATATATGATATCTGATGTGTACAGTATTCTGTATCTTGAATTAGATGCTTGAATTTGTGTTCTTAAGGCTCATATGTATGATTGTTTTTTATCTGAGTTGGGATGGGTAGCTTGCAGGCAAGCTGTTTGATCAAATGCTTGCGAGGGATGTGTAAGCCTTTTTTGGTTATTTCACATATTAGCTTTTCCTTTACCAAACACTAAAAAATGCTGATCAGCTTATAGTTTTGACACCGGATAGGATAAGCTAACACTTTTTTGGCATCCCTATAAGCTATAAGCTAATAAACTACAAGTTAAAAAAAATGCTTATCATTATGAATAGGCTTAGCCAAACACCCTCTAATCGATTCATTTATCAATCTGTGTTTTGTATTTTGTGTTTTCTCTGTGTTTTCTTAAACTGAGTTTATATTTCGGTGGTAACCTAATTTATCTCACTGACAAGTTTTTATGTGGGGTTGTGAATGAATTTTGCAAACATGGACGCATAACTTTGTGCTTAAATTCTTTATTAAATTCTTGTATGTCAGGAAGTGCATTAATGGCGGATTCAATCATTACTTCAGAAACACCAACCAGTTCATCCCAGCTGAATCCTCCATCTCGTATTGTATGTCGTGTGTATGTTCTTCAAACCTTTCTCTAATTCAATTTTTATACAGTATATCCAATTTCATGAATTTTAGGTGATTGATTTTTTTGTGTTCAATTGCAGATGCCAAAAACAGTTTTCCCAATATACATGCCCTCGATGTAATACTCGTTATTGTTCCCTTCCATGTTACAAGGTAATCGTGTCTTTGTTCTTCACATCTTACACAAATTGGTATCCACTTTGAGAATTATGTTTCATCATTAATATTTTTTTAGGTATTGTATTGGACTCCTATATATGGTTTTCTGAATTTATTTAGTATTAAAATTATGTTTTAATAATCTTTCTTCAGTCACATAGTATCCGATGCACAGAATCATTCATGAGAGACAATGTAATGGAGGAGATGAAGCAAATGGAACCTGCTGATGAGACTAAACAGAAAATGCTGGACATACTGAGACGTTTTCATTCAGAGGAAGAAGATGATAGCATGGAAGATGATGGTAATATGTTAATTCTGTATTCAAATTATTACTGTTAATATGTTACTTCTGTATTTAAATTATTCAAATTTTTTTTTTTTTTTTGAAGGGTTAACTGATGCATCTTTATCAGAGGAGACAATCGAAAAGATCATGTCTGGTATGTTTGAAAGTTAATTTCACTTCCACTATCAACCCTATATTTTCTTTTGACAATTTTACCCCTACAGGAGTTGAAATCACTTTCGATGACTTGTCGGCTGAAGAAAAGAAACATTTTCAACGAGCCGTGGCTTCAGGACAGCTCAGCAAAATGATCGAACCGTGGGACCCATGGTGGCTAAAACCATCTGCTAAAACCATATCTCTAAGCCCTCAAGGAACCCAACTGGTTCAACCCGTAACACCAAATGAACCAGACCCGGCGGCTCCCTCGGTGCCGCCGGGTCCCACCACCGCACTACCGCCGGTCAACACCCTTATCGGGTCAAGTCAACCGTCCCCGCTTTTACCTGTTCACCTTGTGGACATCTTATACAGCTACTGTTTCACTCTTCGTGTTTACAACGGGGAATGGGAATCGGATGCGGTGGGGTCCACTGTAACGGTTATGAGTGTATCGAATGTGTTAGGTCAAGGCGGTCAACCGGAGACGGTTTCTGAAGCTGTGGCTCACTGTTTGGAACAAGCTTGCGGGCCCGCTTTCGGACACATGGGTGGGGCCCAGTTCGGACTTGCGGTTCTTGATGATGTGGCGAGTGTTTTGGACCTTGGAAGTGATGGTTTGGTGTGTGCGCTTTGTGATTTGCATCGAATGATTAAAAATGGAATGAAAGAAATGAAGGGGTGTGATGTGGAAATGAAGAGGAAGTTGAAGGGTGGTGAGAGGAAAGTTTATTTTTTGATGTGTTGGGTGCATGAACAAGGGGGAGAGGTTTGGTCTAGTTTGGTAGGGTTGGTGATGGCTGAGAAGAATGTGGCTATGGAGTATGTGGGTAATGGGAAGAAGGGTGATTGGAGAAAGGAAGAGAGGAAGAGGAAGGTTGTGATTGAAGAGGTTTAGTAATGCGATTAATGTATTTTTGAGTATAATTTTGGTAGTTGGTTTTGTAGATAATCATAGTGGGTTTAAGAAATTGTTAAGATTATATTAGAATGATAAGTATTTTTTAGAAGAGAAATTAAATATCTTTCTATTTTTGTTCTTATTTATCTTTCTACCCGTATGAAATAATGACAAGTGTCTTAAAATGTTATTAATTCTTTCAAAATGTGACACATGTTATCATTTCATATAGGTAGGAGGATGGATAGAAACAAAATATCGGAGGATATTTAAATTCTATGATGTGAAAAATATTGTAGAACCTATTTTAAAACAATACATACACATCATATGTACACATACCATGCATTTGGATTAGTATAATGACTTTAAAACATATCCAAAATGGTCGTTATACATTGTGTAATGGCATCATTTGCACCTTTTTTTTTATTATGAGTATATTTCAGGTACTTGAAGCTCATGTTTAGGTATAAAAAATGCTCACTTGTGCATACTAATAATATTCATTCATTACGCTCCTTATTGAAATTGTACC